GATTGAAGACCCACACACGAAATCAGCCCAAGAAAGTGATTCCCACTCAAATTTTGTCTTAAACACACAGAAGAATATCATGAGAATAGGGAGGGATGAAAAATCGAAACCCTGACCATTGAAACTCACCTCCAAGCGTTCCTAGCACGAATCCAGCCTTCGATCTAGCTCACGGATGACTTTGAAGACAATTTAATCAGTAAAATAGGGTTTTGGGCCTAGGGAATCGAAGAGATTTTGAAGATAGGAATAGGAAATAAATTTTTCCAACCCTAACCCCTTCAAATACCACTCTGGTCGCGACACTCTCACTACAGCGACACTCTCACTGTAGCGAGGCATCTCTCGCTACAGCGACGCCCCTTGTCACTAAAGCGAAAACATCAAAGAAAACTGAATTCTAGTTTCTGCAGAATCTTACTACAGCGAGACTCTCTCGTTGCAGCGAGACCATACCTAGAAATGCACCCCAAACTGTCGCTTTGTCGCTACAGCGAGAAGGCGACAATTTCACGCATTCCTCCCAAGGCGCTCTCGCTACAGCGAGAACATCTGAGTATTACACACTTAACCCATTTCTCAGCCCAATCAATCCAGTCCAATCATATACAAACACATTTATACATATTAACGTCATCATCATGCACTTAAGTGCAAATTCCAACATCTATTCACATTTATACACACACATACACATACACACAGATATATATATATATATATATATATATATATATATCAAATACACAAACACATGAAAATCTACATAAACACTTATATTAATAATTAAACAATATTACAAAATTTAGAGTGTTATACTTACCTTAAGATAAGGATTTTTCAAAGATTTTAACCAAAGTTTTAATCTAAAATCAAAGTTTATCCTAAAAACCATAAGATACCTATAAGAAATTTGAGATGAAGAGAAATGAATGGTAAATCTAGATTCAAACTTAAATAAACTTACTTTGAATCGCTTAGAATGAACGTATGATCTCAGATCTGAAGAGAAATTTAAGTTTAGGAGGTTTATAATGAGAGAAAATGGTAGTATATGGCTTTGGGTCTCTCTATAACCTTTGAAAAGTGTGAAGAATGAAGATTTCATGTAAGGCTTCCTATTTATAGGAAAAATCTCAAAAAAAAAAATTTGGGTACTGTTTATACCGCCTTACTATTCACACTGGATTCATTATTCATCGTCAAAAATACTGTTCATGACCAACTTACTGTTTACTTTTTTTTTTTTAATAAATTTTAAACTCCATCTAAATCTATTCTAATCACACTTACTCTCACATAATTTTTTAAGTAATACTTAAAAATACTAGGTGTTACAAATAACGTATCAAACTTTTCAAGATAATCGACCAAGGTACCCTCTTGTTTGAGTTTGGAAAGTTTTACAACTGGATCATCAAAAGTGTTATCATCAAATTTGTACCCTACGTCTTGAAGAATCTGTTGCCACGTCTTGTCTTTGAAATTGGGGTTTTGCATATAGTAACATTGCCATGCAAAGGATTTATTGTCCATAGACAACAGCGACAGTCTTCCATGTTGGTCCTCCGGCATGTTCTCCAATTCGAAGAACTATTCTGATTTGGCGTGCCATTCACGAAAATTGCTACCGTTAAAAGAGGGAAATTGAATTTGTGCACAATTGATGACAGATTGTATCGAACCTGCCACTTCGCTTGCGGAATCTTCTTCTAAGGTGATCTTCTTGCCGAAATTCAATGCAGTAATAGATGAAATGAGACTTTCAATCTATTTCTGCAATGATGCCAATGTCTGTTTTGTTGATTCTTTGTGTATCAGCGAACTTGTTTTAAAAGAGTCCATACGGGTCTTTAATTCTTTATTTGTCACCATCGTCCCTAGACACAAGTGATACCAATTGTAAGATCTGAATATGAATTTGAGATCAAACCCTCACTCACTCTCAATGTAATACTGAAGAGGAAACTGAAAACTTTATTTCATTGTATGAAAAACTCAATTGAATACAGAAGGGTGTATATATAACCTTTGTTTCTAATGACTATAACCAATTCCCTGCCAATTTTCTAATTGCTTATGACTTAAGCAAATAACAAGCACCCCACAACTACATTAACCAACTATTAATTTTGCTAATAAAACTCCTTTTTCTACTTATTACAATAACCCTTTAGTTTGACTGTTCTAAAGAGCTGACTTTTGGTGATATTGACTTCTGGCATTGAGGCTAAAATGCATGCATGTTGGTAAGGTTTGTAATGCATTATTGATAATTGTACCATCTTGTAGTATAAAAAGTTACGGTCCTCAAGAATTTATTTTGTTAAGTATTAATTTACAAATTAACACTAATGTTTGAGCAAACACAAAGGTAGTTGAACGAATAAAAGTAAAAACTGGTAAATTAAATTACTTAAAGCAATAAAAATTCAATTATGAAATATGAAAATACAAGGAACACACAAATTCTACAAATTTTAGTTAGGGAGAAAATATATGTCATACTACAAGCTTTTATGTAAACAAGTCTTATTCAATTATTTAAAATTAATAAATAAATATAAAATTTTAACTATATATTGTAAATAATAATGGTCGGAGCATTATGCTCCCACTTTCTTTAAATCATTTTATATATTAATTTTTAAATAAATAATTTTATCATTATAATTATGTTTTCTTATTACTTGTTTCATTAAATTTATGTTATAATAAAATACATTTTTTTAATTTTTAAAAATATTTGTATTTCTAACAATTTTTTTATTTCATTATACTAGTAACACATAAAAGAATTAGATAAATTAATACAATTTTATTTTGGTTTTTTATTTTATAAATTTGGTCACTTTAAAAAAGTTAATTTTTTTTAAAAAAATGGATTATTTTATATTAACATTTCACGTGAGAAAGTTATGTAAAAATTATGTGTATCCATGAATACAAAATCTTAGCTTAATCTATTATGTCACCTTAGAAAGTATTTTCCCAATGTTTATACCTTAAATGCGGTATTAAAGGGGGACAATTACTAAATTAAATATCCAATCCAAAATTATTTGTGTTTTTAAGCGTATGTATCAGGCATCTAGACACATTACCTTATTGACAAAATTTAGGTACAAATTAATTTAAAGTATTTTTGTTGTCATTTTTAAATTAAAATTAAATTTTTATCACAAATTAAGATTTTCATTTAATATTTCTCAAATTATAAGAAAATTGTTTAATCTTAATTAAAAGATATTTGAAAACTATACTTAAAATTTGTTATTATCTACCAACAGAAATTAATCTGAGTGACAAACAATTCAGTATCGTTTAAACAAGATCTCAAGTTTAAGTTCTTGTGTATGCAAAAAAAATTTAGTGATAGACTTATCCACTAAATTCATGTGCATAACTTAGGTCATATCTGGATTAAACTAGATGAGAAATAAAAAAATAATTTATTATTATCTTATTTAGGTAAGTTGTTAATTTTATCAACTTTAAATTTATTACTCAAAGATTTTTTTTTCCTTTCTTTTCTTACATTTTTTTATTTTTTTTAGTATATATAAATTTTTAGAAATTTAATTTTAAAATTTATTGAACAACTCTTTAAAAATTAAACTTCACAATAGTATTTATACAAGAAAAAGAAAGTGATATGATTAAAAAAAGTAAATAAATAAAAATTCTCATCATTATTACGAATATTCTAGTTATTTTTGTTAAGAGATAAATATATATTCTTTTAAATACACTTTTAATTATTAACTAAAATTTATTAAAAATTATAAAAATTACATAACTTTTACTTTTTCTAACTCATAATTTTATATTTTAAAATTTTTTAATAAATTTTAATCAACAATTAATCATGTATTTCTTTCGCATTCCAGTTAAAGACAGAGAAAAACAAGACCCACGAATGGATAAAATCTTACAAACGCAGGAGCAACTAAGTTATTCTGAATCTCAAACGGAAACTAAAGAAATAGAAAAGTTGCAGTGACTCAACGACAGAAGCTTTTATGGGCCAAAAAAAGAAATAAAAAGATTTGAAACGTGCACTCCAACCAAATTGGACAAAAACTTGAGCTCTCAATTGCTCTATCTTATCAGCTAGTAATAGCTTCACCCACAGCCAGAATAAATAAATAAATTACTTTTATTCATTTCAATAAATAAAAGTTTTTAAACCTTTTAGCTATCACAGATGAAGTTTCTAGATATAGATATTTTTGTAACAGTGACGCAGAGGACTCTTAATTTGATTGGTTAGTTCATTTATTTAACAATTATGTGCTAAAAATATAGTATAAGAAAATAAAATATTTTTTAAGTTTTTTATTCAAAAATTATACTTTTAATTATTTTGAGATGCGGTTTTGAATAAATTTTAAGAAATTAAAATTATAACTAATTTTCAAAATAAAAGTACTTTTTATAAATATAAATAAACAAAATACAACGTTTGCTTTTCACGAATTATAAAGCTGTTTGGGTTCAATATCAAACATTTTGCAAATATATGTCTGCACGTTTTTGCTTCTAGACAATTTTAGAGTCTCCCGATAATTTTATTTTATTTTTTTTTCTAAAATGCCTATTATTTTTTAACTTCTAAAAAGTAGTAAAGCAATTTTTAAAATGTTTTTCGACTGAAAAATTTAATATTTTTCGACCAACTTTTAGTTAAAAACAAAACAAAACAAAACATTCTTTTTTCTGAAGTGACACAAGCCTATTTACCTCCATACGGAACTGTTTTGATTTCTCAATTTTGTAGAAATAAAATTAACAAATATGAGTGGCAGAGAGAGAAGGTTGAACTCAAACCTCAAATTAGCGCAGTTCCGAGAAGCCTCCACATTTTGTTTGTAAGGAAAGTCCTATAAAACCAAGGTCCATCTCACCAAAAGCCACGTATTAATAAATACTATAATACAACCAATACCATTTGTGTGGCTGTTGATAAATTCTTAAGCCAATCCACAGGTTTTTTCTCATTCTCCTTATTACTTTTGAGTCACTCAATTTCATCTACCCCATCACACTATAAAGTCTTCCTCTCACATCTCTCTTTCCCTCAAATCCAAACACTTAAAACTCAGTTTCACATTGTTTTCTACATTCCTCCAGAACTTATTTTGGTTTCCAATTACAATGGCAACTTCAGTGCCAACCGTTGGAGCAGTTAACATGCCACCGGTACTATGTTTTTCCCGCCCTTGTTATGTCATGTTAAACTGTTCAAACCTTGGTCTCATCGTTACATAGAACATGTGACATGTTTTGTTTCACTTATGATTATAATTCATGTTTTAAATGTTTCTCTTAAGTTCATTCTAGACGGGCAGGCCTACATAAACACAATGATACACTCGTATGTATCCATTTGTATGAGTAGAAGTAAATTGTAAACTTATTAGTTAGTACTATATATAATCATGGGGTACTTCTGAATTTTGGTTATTTTGTTTTTCCTATCTGGGTCTGTTCCAATTTGTCTAGAGCATAAATTTTGCAATGCAAGTTGGTACAAAGGGTCATTGGGGGCTAAAGAGGGACTATATTTGGTGCAGTTGAAATTAAATGGCTCTAGCAATGGAGTGATAAGCTCAGTATTCTTTGGAACCAGTTTGAAGAAAGGAAGTTCTGTGAGTTCCAAACAGAGGAGTTTGTGTGGGAATTTCAAGGTTGCTGCACAGATTGAATATGATGAGGAGAAGCAGACCTCAAAGGATAGATGGGGTGGACTTGCCTATGACACTTCAGATGATCAGCAAGATATCACCAGAGGGAAGGGAATGGTGGACACTCTCTTCCAAGCTTCCATGGATACTGGGACTCACTATGCTATCATGAATTCCTATGATTATATCAGTGCTGGTCTTCGCCAGTAAGTTGGTTTTTTTAACTTAATTTAGTTTGCATATAATTTGAATCTTAAGTTTTGGTGTTTTTGTTTAGCGAAGTAGTTGAATGCTAATGGGGGCTTATTTTCAGGTGCAACTTGGATAACACTATGGATGGCTTCTATATTGCTCCAGCATTTATGGACAAGATTGTTGTTCACATCACCAAGAACTTTTTGAACTTGCCAAATATTAAGGTTCCTCTTATTTTGGGCATTTGGGGAGGCAAAGGTCAGGGGAAATCGTTTCAATGTGAGCTTGTGTTTGCCAAAATGGGAATCAAGTAAGTTTAATTCCACTCCACTATATATTTTCAGCCCAGTAAGTTTAATTGAACAGGAAACAAAAATGCTGATGTTGGTTTAGAGTTAGGCGCATCCTAGATATTTGGTTTATGGTTTGCAATAAGATGATTTGGCCTAATGAAAAGGCAATTTTTTTCTAGTTCTGTTCATCCATAATTTTGCTAAACATGTTATGTGTGGATGAAAGTCAGTGTACATTCTCCATACTATGGTTTTGGTGTATTCAAATTACAATTAAAAAATGCACTAACTCTTTGGTTGCCTTCAAATTCAGCCCCATAATGATGAGTGCTGGAGAATTGGAAAGTGGAAATGCTGGTGAGCCTGCAAAGTTGATTAGGCAAAGGTACCGTGAGGCGGCAGACATCATCAGAAAAGGAAAGATGTGTTGTCTCTTCATAAATGATCTTGATGCAGGAGCTGGTAGGCTTGGTGGAACCACTCAATACACAGTCAATAACCAGATGGTGAATGCAACCCTTATGAACATTGCTGATAACCCAACCAATGTCCAACTTCCTGGTATGTACAATAAGGAGGAGAATCCTCGTGTCCCCATCATAGTCACTGGTAATGACTTCTCAACATTGTATGCTCCACTCATTCGTGATGGACGTATGGAAAAGTTCTATTGGGCACCAACTCGGGACGACAGGATTGGTGTCTGCCAAGGTATTTTCAGAACAGATGGTATTCCAAAGGAGGACATTGTCAAGCTTGTTGACACCTTCCCTGGACAATCTATTGGTAAGCCATACCTCAATTCAAGTTTCAAGCTTAAATTTATATAAGCTTAAATATGTTTTTGATCCACGAGAATGTGACGTTTTTGTTTTAGTTCTTATTCTAGTTTTATTAGATTTTAGTCCCTACATTTGACAAAACCTGTGTATTTTAAGTCTCTCACTAAGGACCGAAAACAAATGGTTTTTGGATCTGTTTCAAAACACAACTTAATTATACCCTTATTTAATAAACTTTTATCACACAACAGTTTATATCATATGTTTGACCATAAAACTTCTTGGAATAAGCTAAAAGAAGTTTATTTTGGTGTTATACAGAATAACTTATTGAAATAAGTTGATAGAGTTTATGAGAGCTCTAGGGTATATTTGTGAGCTCTCCCTAAGCTATTTCAAACAAAAGTTTAAATAGGGACTAATTTCGTAAAACGTCATACTTACCAAAAACATATTTTAGCCAAATTTCTATTGCTAATTCATTAACTTCATTAGCCTTTGAAGTTTGAGACATTGTTATCAGATTGTATGGTTGAATTGTGAATAATCAAATGTTTGATACATCTGTGTGTAGACTTCTTTGGTGCCTTGAGGGCCAGAGTGTATGATGATGAAGTAAGGAAGTGGATTGCTGGTGTGGGGGTGGAGAATGTTGGGAAAAAGCTTGTGAATTCAAAGGAAGGACCTCCAACTTTTGAGCAACCCAAGATGAGTCTGGATAAGCTCCTTCAGTATGGAAACATGCTTGTTCAAGAGCAAGAGAATGTTAAGAGGGTTCAATTGGCTGATAAATACCTGAACGAGGCAGCTCTTGGAGAGGCAAATGAAGATGCCATCAAGACTGGAAATTTCTATGGTTAAACCTTTGTTCTTAATGCTCTTGATGTGAAAATTGCCCATGGCTTTAGGACTATGGTGGAATGATAATTTAGGATACTAATAATTATTTCTTATTGATGCAGGACAAGGGGCTCAGCAAGTTCATATTCCTGTCCCTGAAGGTTGCACTGATCCTACTGCTGAAAACTATGATCCAACTGCCAGAAGTGACGATGGAAGCTGCACATACAACTTTTAGGTAATTTTGAGCAAATAAATAAAGGGATTTGAAACAGAAGTCCAGGAGAATGTTAGTCACTATGAATCTCAGCTTAGAATACACTTTTTTTTTCTTTATGTTAGGTGCATTAATTTGAACTTTGAAGATGTACATTTTGTGTTGTTGCTGGTGTAACCCTTAGTTGCGTTTTATGGGTGACATCTTATAGCTAGCAATATTGAAAATATCCTTCTCTTTCAGTTTGCATAATTATCTTGTCAAATTGGTGCTCTTCCCTAGAGCCAGCTGATTTACACGAAAAAATACTAGCTTATAAAACAACAAAAACAACAAAACTTTATCTCGCAAAGATTAGTTAATAGTTACACGGATCATACAATACTATTTAGCTACTATGAGTAAAAGAATTGAAAGAAAAATAATGCATGTATTGATTCTGAATGAATTACAAAGGAAAGCTATCTAGTAATATAGCTGAGAATTACAAAGAGAGAGAATTGAGAAGCTAACAGACTCAAGGTCAAAACAAAAAAGCGTAAGATGGATTCTGTTATTTACAACAGCCATCTTAAATGATGTGGGACCTTGCAAGTTGTCAAGGTGCACACTATTGTCACCTGATCTGATGTGGCACTTGGCAATTCTAACATTTCTAATAGTCTCCCTCAAGATGGAGGATGGAAGATGTCCAATACTCCAACTTGCAAAGTAATGCGTTGAAATTTTTGGGTAGTAAGGCTTTGGGGAAGAAGTCAGCCACCTGATTGTTGGAAGAAATGGGCAGAGTCTCATAAGCCCAAATTGCACTTTCTCACGGATAATATGACAATCAATCTTGAGGTATTTTGTTCTCTCATGAAACACTAGATTGTTTGCAATGTGGATTGTACTTTGATTGTCACAGAACAACACTGGAGTTTTTGAACATTTGATCTGAAGGTCCTGAAGAAGAAAATGCAACCATTGAAGTTCGCAAGTTGCAGAAGCTAGAGCCTTGTACTCTGCCTCTGCTGAGGATCTAGCAACTGTGAGTTGCTTCTTTGCATGCCAGGAAATGAGTGAATCCCCAAGAAAGAAACAGTGACCAGAAATAGATCTCTTGGAATCTATGCACCCTCCCCAGTCTGCATCAGAATATCCTTGCAACTGAAGACTGGACTTTCGTGGGAAGAACAACCCAAGACTAGGGTTCTTTTTGAGGTATCTTAGTATACGGAGAGCAGCCTTATGATGTGAGATAGTGGGTGAGCTCATAAATTAACTCACTTGTTGCGTAGCAAAACTGATATCAGGCCTTGTTGAAGTAAGATATAATAGCCTCCCAACCAACCTTCTATAAGAAGAAACATCATGAAAGCTTGGACCAAAGTCTTGATGGAGTTTGAGAGCAGGATCAATTGGAGTGGAGGCTGGTTTGCAATCTGCATGAAAACTATCTTCTAGCAAATCAATACAATACTTTCTCTAACAAAGGGAAATACCAAGTGAGGATTGTGCCACTTCCAAGCCCAGAAAATACTTGAGTACTCCCAAATCCTTGATTCCAAATGCACCATGTAGTCTTGCTTCGATAGAGGCAAATTCTGTGAGACTATCCCCAAATAAAAGCACATCATCCACATAAATGAGTAAACTACTAAAAGGGTACTAGTAAATCTCAAAAATAATGAGTGATCAGCAGAAGCTTGGTGATAACCAATATCAATGAGAAAATGTGACAACTTGTCATACCACTGCCTGCTAGTCTGTTTAAGGCCATACAAGGATTTAGAAAGCTTGCAAACCTTGGAATGAGAAGAGACAAACATGCCTTGGGGAATACACATATAAATGTCGTCCTTTAGATCACCATGCAAGAAGGTATTATTAATATCTAATTGATGTAAATTCCAATTATAATGAGCAGCTAAAGCAAGTATTGTTCTGATTGTGGTGATCTTAGCAATAGGAGAAAATGTATCAAGAAAGTTCAAACCTTCAATTTGGTTATAGCCTTTGGCTACCAACCGAGCTTTGTACCTTTCAATAGTACCGTCTGCCCTCCTTTTAATCTTGTAAACCCATTTGCTACCTATTGGAATGACACCAATAGGAAGGTCAACAAGGGACCAAGTTCCATTGAGTTCAAGAGCATTAATCTCTGCATCCATGGCCTTTCTCTAACATTCAAGTTGACTAGCTTCATTGTATGTAGTTGGTTTCTGTTCTTGGCTAAGGAGAAAGCTGTAGGAAGCATGTGAAGGAGATAGATTGGCAAATGAAACAAAAGAAGAAAGAGAAAAACAAATACTTGATTGGTTCTGCTGAGAAATAGATAAATTGCAATGGTAATCTTGCAAATAAATAGGTCTCTTTATGTCTGACAGATTTTCTTTACAAAGGGGGTGGGGAAGGTGATGGTGAGGTATGATGGAAAAGAGGTAAAGGAGAAGGAAGTGAAGAAGGAGGTGCAAGTGAAGTGGGATATGAAATACACATAGGTGTGGATAGCAGCACAATTGATTTGGTAAATGTAGACCAAGGAAAAATGTATTATTCAAAAACAACATTTCTGGAAAGTACCAATTGATTTGTATGCAAATCATAAACTAAATACCCCTTAGTGCCTGACTTAAAACCAACAAATATTGACTTGTGATTTTGCAGGTCAAACTTGGATCTATGATTGCCAAGAGTAGAAATATAGCATAAGTACCCAAAAACCTTTAAATGTGACAAGTTTGGTTGTACCTGATATAGTAAAGCATAAGGAGAATTGCCTTTGAGAAAAGGGGTATGAATTCTGTTAATTAAATGTACTGCATGAGTAGCTGCTAAGCCCCAAAATGTTTTAGGTAAATAAGATTGAAAAAGAAGTGCCCTAGCAACATTCAAAATATGTTGGTGTCTTCTTTCTACCCTACTATTTTGCTGAGGGGTTTCAACACATGACTTTTGATGTAAAATGTCCTTATCTTGGTAAAAAGAATGTAAAGAGAATTCTGGGCCTTTATTTGTCCTTATGGTTTTGATGGTTACACTAAAATGATTTTCTATCATTTTGACAAAATTTTTAATATGTGAGCCAACTTCATATTTTTGTTGGAGAAAAATAATCCACAGAAATCTACTGTAATCATCCAAAATAGTCAAGAAGTATCTATGTTTTCCAATGGTAGCAGTTTTATATGGCCCCAAATATTCATGTGAATTAATTCAAAAGGCTTTGAAGCATTATGAGTGCTGGTGGAAAATGGCAATTTCTTTTGTTTAGCATAGTAGCAAACATCACAAATGTGTTTCTTATTAAAAGGAAGTAACTGTAGATACAAACCAATAAGCAAATCCATTCTAGAGGAAGACAAATGTCCTAGCCTAAAATGCCAAATAGTTGTGTCAGGAAAAAAGTAAAGACTGGTTGTAAAATTGTGAGCTTGATGTTGTTTTGCTGGGAGGAAACAATCATTTGTATGCAAGTAGTACAATCCATCTATTAGCTTAGTTGAACCAATCGTCTTCAAGGTATTCAGTTCCTGGATGGCACAAGTGGTTTTTGAAAAAGTCAAAACACAATTGAGGGAAGCAAGTAGTTTAGAAACAGATACTAAGTTGATTGAAAAATTCAGCAAATATAAAACATTTGGAAGAGTTAGTGTGTTGTTTATCTGAACAATTCCTATATGAGTGGCAAAAGTGAGATTCCCATTTGGCAACTTAACAGTGATAGAATTTTTGCTGAGAGGTTGTAATGAAGAGAAGATGAACTTATCTGAACATATATCATCTATTGCTCCTGAGTCTAGAATCCATGAATTTTTTGTGGAGTGATTAATGGTTAAAGTGTAACAAATACCTGTGTAAATGGAACTTTCAAGATTGAGATGAGTTGTGCTAGTGGAAACTGCAGCAACTTGTCCAGGAGAATTGCTAGTCAAACCAGAAGGTTGGATCAATGACATGGCTTTGAAGTGCTCCGAAGTCAAAGAAACCTGGTGTGGAGCCTCACTTCCAGTAGTGACTGTGAGTTTATCATCTTCACAAGTTTCAAATTGCTCACCAATAGCATTGTTAGCTGAGATAGTATTCTTCCCACTTAAATCTAGATGGATACCCATGCTTTTTGTAGCAAATATCCACAATATGACCATTTCTACCACAATAACTGCAGACCTTGGGGTTGCCTCTTCCAAAGTTATTTGTGCCTCTACCAAAGGTGTTATGGTAGCCTCCTTTGCCTCTACCAAAGGATTTAAGACCTTCAGTTGCATTGACAAAAACCTGTGAATCTTCTATTACAGTGGAAGCATCAAGTGAGGAAGAGGAAGAAATAATTCTCCTTTCATGTTGAACAACCAGATTAAAAACTTTGTTAACATCAGGAAACGGATCCATCATCAAGATCTGTGTGGTAACTACTTCATAATCATCATTTAAGCCACTTAAAAACTTCATAATGAGATCTTCTGCTCTATAATCTTTTCCTAAATGTCTAGTCACACAAACACAGCTGATAGAGCAAGAATAATCTGGAAATGGCCTGAAATTTTCCAGTTCTTCCCACAGAGTTGTGAGTTCAGTAAAGAAATGAGTCATCAAATTTGTACCTTGTTTGAGATTAGAAATCTCTTGTTGTAAATCAAAGATTCTTACACGAACAACTTGTGAAAATCTGTCGTTCAAAAGTTTCCAAGCTACTGCAGCAACTTCTAAATAAACAATCCCTGGAGCAATTGTTGTTTCCACCGAACTAAAGATCCAAGACAGCACTAAATTATTGCATCGTTCCTAAGCATCAAAACTGGGATCAAAGGTTGATGGTATTGGGAGAGAACCATTCACAAACTTGAACTTATTCTTTGATATTAATGATCTTTTCATAGCTCGAGCCCAGCTATGGTAATTCTTAAGGTTGAGCAAAGGAAAAACTAGAGGAGTAACTGGACTTTCACCTGGGTGAATGTAGAAGACGCTGAGAGGATTGAGTGCTAGATCTAAGAGAAGAGGAGAAGGAGTATTATGAGAACCACCACCTCTTGCCATGGTTGCAATACTTCACGAAGCTCTTAAAATCGAAGAGCTCTTGATACCATATGAGTAAAAGAATTGAAAGAAAAATAACACATGTATTGATTCTGAATGAATTACAAAGGAAAGCTCTCTAGTTATATAGCTGAGAATTACAAAGAGGAGAGAATTGAGAAGCTAACAGACTCAAGGTCAAAACAAAAGAGCATAAAACGGATTCTGTTATTTACAGCAGCTTCAGTATCTTAATTGATGTGGGACCTTGCAAGTTGTCAAGGTGGACACTATTGTCACGTGATCTGATGTGGCACTTGACAATTCTAATATTTCTAATAGCTACTATCTTGATTGATCCGTGTCTGAGTTTTGACAAGTTTTATGCTAACATGATCCTCCTCTCTTACTTGGGTTTGGGACCAGCTACGAGATCATAGGCAGAGTTTAACTTACAATAAACACGTTGAAAGGTAAAACGGAAGGAAATATCACAACCTGTTTGGGGTTTAAAAAATTTCATTAACTAGCAAATGTGTAAAAATTACCAGCACGCAATAATGCACAATATGATAGTATTGAAACTATTAAGAAGTGTTGAACACAGATGACAGAATTGAACTGACTCAATAGTACTACTACCTATGTGTCGATAAGCAGTAATGTTGAAGTTAAGTCTCATTCTCACAAATGGGCCAATTCGAAAAGAAACTAGAGTCATCGAGTTTCGCTTCCACTTCACTTCTGTGCTTTGCATTTGCGTTGCGCCCCCTACGGTGCGCCCCCTACGGTGCGCCCCCTACGGTGCACATAATCTTTTTCAGCTAGGATACATTAGATTTGTCCCAGTTCAATTAATAATTTAGATCTTGATATTTTATTTATTTATTTAAAATGGTATATATCTTTAAAAATTATTCTATTAAAATTGAATAAGATTATTATGAGTAACAAAATTTTATATATTTTTTAATATTAAATATAGCTATGCTTTCAAGACTTAAATTTGAGAGTAATATTTACATTTGTCTTATAAAAATATTTTAATTTAAAAATAAATACTCAAATTGAGTATATAGATGTCATATATTATAATTTTATCACTATTGGTGTATAACATTGTAAGGGTAGTACCATATGAATTGATTATAATATATCTTTTATTTCTATGTTTTGTTTATGATTTTAAACTTCTAAATTTTTGTGATTTCGGTCCCTACTAACAGCAACATATCAAAATATGTATCCTGCAAAGTTCATAAATAAAATAAATTTATAACGACTAAAACTTAATTCTATAAAATTATATGCACCAAAAGCAAAATTTTAAAAGAATAAAGATCAAAATAGAAAAAAAAATACAGAAAAAAAATATGTTTACTCCATATAAATGTATGACTAAAATCTTTATTTATTAAAATAATAAATAACGTAATTAAGTCTATTACTTTCTTCCTCTTGCAATCCCTCATCTAACCAAATTATCAGCCTTGTTTTAGGTCCCTTTTTGTATTTTTTTTAATTAAAAATAATACAAGACAAAAATATCATAATAATTAAAGACAAATATATTAATATTTTAATTTATATATATATATAATAATTTTTACAGTATCTTATAAATTAAGAAGATATAGTACATAAAATAATTATTATTGTTAATTTTATTTTAAAATATGTATAATAAATAGCAGAAATTAATAACCAGTTTAAAAAATATATAAATATTTAATTTTTAAAGTATTAAAAGATCGAATTATAACTATTAATTTGTAAAATATATTTTCAAATTTATAAATATCAAAGTAATCACCTTTTTTAAATTAAAGCAGGAAAAGTAAGATTGTTATATTAAAAAAAATTCTTTTAATTATAAGCTTATCATTTTTTTTATTGTCATTAATTTTATAAAAAAAAAAGGTTAAAATGCTTTTTTTGTCCCTGTACTTATGAATTTGTAATTTAATCTCTATATATTAAAAAATTATAAATAATTTCCCGTACAAAACTTAAATCTTAATTTAGTTTCTGCCGTTACTTTCAATCTTAACGTCATTTGCAAAAATTGTTAACGTGTAGAGTAGATGCAACATGTAAACAACTAAATAGCCAACGTGTAGAATAGATGCAATTTATAAAGAACTAAATAGCCAAAATAATATGCTAATAGAGAAACTCTAAATTGAATTGTGCAACTCTCATTATTACTTCCTTCAATCCCACTGTAAAATTCTTCACTATTGTAAACAAAATCTATATC